CCTCTCCTCTCCTCTCCTCTCCTCTCCTCTCCTCTCCTCTCCTCTCTCCCACCAGCTTAACATATTTAATTCTGGCACAAATGTTTTAGATGATTAAGGTATCAAGGCAACCTTTTATTTGATTCGGTATGCTAGTTCATATCCCCAAATCTGCTATAAATAGCTGATGGGTCTCCAAGCAGCTTTGGGACACATTTTGGATAGAGTGATGCAGTCCTGTTTCATAAACGGATGTTCGCTTGCTTAGCATTTGATGCTTTTGAATCTGTTTTTCTTAGTGGCGTTAAAAATCTACGAGGCAGGGACTTCATGAGCTGTTGGAAATTGTAACTACAGAATTCTATAAAAAATGTACCTGTTTCAGAGGATATGCTTGGTTCTGGGGCACCTTTATTCATATGCTGCATTGTTCTAAACAGTCTGGTTAATCAGCAAGTAATCTATTTAAGTGTGCCTTGTGTGTGTGGTAAACAGTTCTAACCAGTGAACTTGCACTATGTTTGTAGATATCCTAAAGCAGCTTACGAGCATTGAATTGTCATTGCATAAAGGTTTAGGTGAGGAAAAGTGAGAGGGAGATGTTTGATATATTAAAGGTACCCTCTCTAGTATATTGGATTGTAGACGTGATACATTTCAACATCAGCCAGGGAACTATAGGAGTTGAAGACTATCATATCTACAGGCCATTGGATTGGGGAAGGCTGCTTTAAGGTGCTTTCTTTCAGCTTTCCAAGTAATTTTTGATACTTCTAATTAAAAAAAAAACAGTCATTGTGACCTTTTGAAAAATAAACTGTTTTGGCTCTTTTCTGCTTTCCTAAACTAAGGGAATAATGCTTTTAAATTGTAGCCCTCTTGTGTTTGAATCAACTCCAGGATCATAATCATAATTTCATCAGGTTGCAAGGGACCTCAGCTTGAAATAATGGCTATTTCATCGTTTATTAGATATGGAAAGCCACTAATTGTCATGCATGTTCATTGTCTAAAGCTACTTAATTAGCCATCTTATTCAGGCCTGGTGAAAGCAGCCAGCCTAGTATTGGGTTCAGCCGTGTTGTACCATAAGTTCCACCCCTTTGGGGAATATCTGCAATGTTGTGATTGTATGTATTTAGAAAAGAGTGGGCCTTACTGTGAGGGAATGACGCTGGGGTTGCTGTTTGCATTTGGGAAAAGCAGCTGCAGCCAGGCAGAAATGCTTTCCACCCCCACTTCCCCAAGGATAGACTGAGCTCATCCCTTCTCCCAAAGGGCAGTAAAGGTTAACAGACCCAGAAACTTGAGAGGAGATGGTCTCATTCATTCATTCATTCATTCATTCATTCATTCATTCATTCATTCCCCACTCACAATTTACTCACAAGCATCCACACCAGCATTCTAGGTGTCTGGCTAATTGAGCCACACCCTGGAATGTCCTGCTGTCCATAGACAGTCTCATCCCACCCAAGTCCTTAGGCTACAAAAGTTTGGGTGTGTAGGAGAAAAGGAGAAGAAGACAACAAGCAGAGAAGAAAACAGAAAGCGATGTATGGAGTGTATGGCTATTATAGGCAAGCAAGAAGGCTATCAATCAATTGCCAGGACTACAAGCTACAGTAAGCAGCCCATTGTGGTGGGATTCCTGCCTGGAGCTTGGCTTAGTGCTTGGCCTGGAGCTCAGTAGCAACCAGAAAAAGAGCAACTACGCTGAGGCGGTACAAGAACCTTTGGAGGGAGGCAAATATTGAATGCTTTACAAACTTTAGGACTTTTATTTGTTATGAGGGCTAATCATCAAAGACTTATTTACGTGGCTACCTCAACTTGCAAAGCCTAGGGGGGGTGGAGTTAACCCAGGGCAACAGAAAAGGTGTATGCTACAATAAAGTATTTTGTACAATTACCTTCTATGCTGAGGTGTGTCCAGTCCTTGGGAAGCAAAGAACCCTCACACTTACATTGCAATGCTGCTTGTTTCACTATGACACACTGGTTGGATTACTGGCACTGGCTTTGCGGCTGATGTTGTTCTCTTAATGATGGAATTGCCATCAAGCTGAACTTTGGGTGCACTAACTAGAATAGTGAACTGGTGAAAAGACTCTTGTAAAGAATCTTATTCAAAGTCGTTCTAGGCTGTAGCTTGATCTTGATCTCATATGCGTTTATTTGGAGATAAATCAGTGGGACTTATATATATTGGGATGAGACATCAGCTAGAACAGTGTTTCTCAACCTCAGCCACTTTAAGCTGTGTGGACTTCAACTCCCAGGATTCCCCAGCCAGCAC